TCTACCCCAGAGACTGTTCGGTTTTCCGGAATGACTCTTTTTAGGTTTTTATGTGATTTTTCTCTATATAAACCTCAGTGTTCAAGTTATTAGTCTTAACTAACAAATAAATAAATGAAAAATAGGGGTTGAGCGTAGAGGGTAGATGAAAATTAAGGGTTGTATGTATTTTTGTACCCCAAAATTTGTATTTTTTATGATATAAAAAATAAAATTTTGGGGTGGACACCCCTTATCACTTAGGAGTTTGAAAGGTAGATAGTAGCTGACTTACTGAATATGCATAAAAATCGTAAGAATCGGTCAAGCCGTTTCCGAGGAGTATGGGAACGAACATTGTGACACGAGAATTTTATATATTTATATATAATATATATAGTATGGAAAGTGGTCAGACATTAATATGTATTTTGTTTATAAATTTAACAAATAATTTCAACTAAGTAGGTCCAGTGGGTTTTAAAATCAAAAATCAGTAGCGCAACCTTTTCTGTATCTGTTTATGATCATTTGTCAATCTAATAGGCAAGTATCAGCCTGCCACGTCGACTTTTTGTGTCAAAGACAAGCCGGTTTCCTTACGATGTTTTCTTTTAACATGAGGGCGAATGTTAAATGAGCACATAGAAAGGAAATCCATTGGGGCACAGCCGGGGATGAGAGTCGCACACTGATGCAAAGCCAACACTGTTTTTTTAATTTAACAAAAACTGGTACCGACTAATATTTTTTAACTACAGAACAGTGTACAATCATTCTTACCCATACAATTCTAGGAACTATCGCCGAATGTAATGGCTCACGACATCCTCTCACTCAACCAAATTTAGATTTACGGCTTTCGAATACGTAATCGAAATTGCTTAAAACAATAATAATACTTATGGAGTAATTCTTCCGGTGTAGTATGTTTTGTAGTGGACACTCCTTAGGTGGCCATTCTGCTCTTGGCTATGCGACAAAGTTCATACATGTAGTTTAGAAAGTTAGTCCTCTAATCCCAGAAAGCTTCGACCAGATAAGCAGTGCGTGCTCCTATTTCACCATGCCTCCTGCTGATAGGGATTCTTAGTTTTTAATTTATTTTATTATTATTTATTAATTAAGATGTCATGTGGAACATGGTGTAATGGTTGCAGCTCCTTATAAACGTTGTCTAAAACAAAAAACTTTGCGATTTAAAAGAGTGGCGGAGAGTTTATTGCCAGTTCTTCTCTTCCGTTCTACGCCCTTGATATGAGAACTGGCAGTAAAATTAGAAGCATTTCATATATATATATTTGACGTTCATAAGTGTACATTGTACACCTATATGAATAAATGATTTTGAATTTTGATACATTTACCCTCAAGTACTGTGCCTTTTAATCCAAAACTATTGCTGTCCTGCCAGCAAAGCAAATTTAGATTATCACGCAACCAGGGACGTGGGAATTCCTCAGAGAGCATAAAGCTGATTGGGCATAGTAATTCAGCGATAACTCGACGCGCTTAATGCAGTGTGTATTTAGATTTATTTTGAACCGACCAGACGTTTCCTTTATCATGGTAACCCATTTCTATTTAAGACTTACTCGCCTCCGTTCAGATTACGCGTTGGTTTGTACAGTGCGAATGGATTCCGAAATATGTGAATCACAAGCACGTTTGCCCCATGTGATTGTTCTATATTTAGCATAATTTATGCCCTTAATTTGTAAATGTATATATATATATATATATATATATACATATACAGTCCAAATAACGACATCGAAGGGACTACTCATATTTGGTCGTAAAAACCGATAGTCGTAACTGCCGATAAGGTTTTTATTAAGAACCTAATACAATAGAATTCAGCCGGGACCTTGGGACCTCGGGACGAGGATTTTAACATTCGCTAGTCCATTGAAATGTAACATTTGTTAGAGGACGCAATTTTATTTATGGTACATTAAGGGGGGGGGGGTCCAATACAAGCTTAAACCCAAGTTTGAGTTCATATGCCTTTCGTAAAATGTTTTACAAATAGTAAAAAATAAAAATAAGCCCCGAAGAGTTTATTTTTATTTATCCCATGCAGTGTTTATTCTTATAGCGTCACAGTTAAATATGACCAGTGAAGCTGGTAATAATCTATAATGTCTGAGTCTTGAAACTTATTAAAAAAAATCTTTTAACTTTTTTTTTGTACGCAAACGGGCAGGAGGCTCACCTGATGTTAAATGAAACCGCCGCCCATGGATACATAACGCTAGAGGTCTCGTCTTGCCGGCCTTTTCTTGAAGGACCCTTAGTCGAATTAGTTCGGAAATACTTCAGTGGGCTAGCAACCTAATTCAGTTTATTAACATGGTACTTACGAAAGTACTGATTTTGTCTCCTAAATACACCAGTAGCGTAACCAATATGAGTCTGGATCTAATAATTTTCTTTGAAAATAAGTGTTTCATCAGCCTTCTGTTTTTGTCATTTTGGTCTAAGACATGCCGCTTTCCTTACGATATTTATTGTCAATCTACAAGTAAGTGTTAATTTTCATAGAAAAGTCTATTCAGCAGGGATTTGTGCAGAGTCGGGTCACAGCTAAACATAATAATAAGTGAACCTTTTTTATTTTGTACTTTAGGTGAGCTTCCTGCCCGTTTGCCCCCTGTTCTATAAAAAATTTGAAGTTTTTTTATATTTTTCTCCACATTTTGACCACTGAATTCATTCAACGGAGTGCGGTCATACAGAATGTGTCATTGTAACTGCATGTGGTGACCATGGCCATATATAAACACAATCGATCTGTTGTACATATATGGATTATTTCGACATGGTTCGGTGCCTTAGATTCTCAGTTGATGGGAACAAAAGCTTTAAAAACTTGTCTATGACATCGAATAGCCTGGAAGGATATTCGTGTGTCGTAATCAGAATTTCGGGATTCTTAATAAGAAAAATATGTCTCTAATGAACAGCTGGTGTCGCTTTGAAACGACTTCGTCTAGCAAATGGATTACTGCAATCTATTTCAGTAAAATTTGGATATTATAGAATTGTCTTTCTAAACTCAAACTCAAAATATCTTTATTCATGTAGGTAAACAAATACACTTACGAATTGTCAAGTTAAATTAATTGTAAATTTACATTTTCTACCAGTTCGGAAGTCAAGGGCGTAGAGCGGGTAAGAAGAACTGGCAAGAAACTTTCCGCCACTCTTTTTAATCGCCAAGTATTGTCATACAAATTGTTTGACCTGGAGCAAATCAATCCCAAGGATTAGGATCATTTAAGTATTCCTCAAATTAATAAAAAGCTTTATTGATTAATTTCCGTTTAACGAGGGCTTTGAATTTATTTAGTGATAATACTCTAATTTCGCTTGGGAGTTTGTTGTAAAAACGAATACAATTTCCATATAAGGAGTGGTTTATCTTTTGGAGCCTGGTTGGTCGTACACTCAAATTAGTTCTATTTCGCGTATTATACTGGTGAAAGTCACCATTTGTTTTACATCAAATACAGTTTACTGGCCAGGCTGTTTTAATAGAACAGGGGCAAAGGGCAGGAGGCTCATCTGATGGTAAGAGATACGACCGGCCGTAAACACAGCCAGTAAACGATATATACGACCAATGAACCAAACTAAAAGAACTTGCAAGCCAGGCAGTGTGTGTAGCACTTAACAACCGAAGAGCCTTCTGCCCACTGACCCTGCTCTAAAAAAAAAAATGTGTGCGTGTACTATGTGTACACACGTAAGAAGTGAAACTTCTTTATGACCTTATTAGAAACTATTTCTAAAACTAAACACAGTAAATTTTGATACACTGCCTAGCATACAATTTACAAATTAATTGCTGCAAATTGCGATTAGCAAATTTCAAGTCGAAAATGTAATCCGTTGTCAAACTTCAAAGTCAAAAACATACTACATATATGTCATATTTTAACGTCGATAAAGAAGTTTGACTTCAAAAAGCAACATGGCGCGTAACGGAAAAATGTGACGCGTAACGCAAAAATGTTACACTAAATTTTTTTCCAACCCCGATAAAGAAGTTTCACTTCAAAAATAATAAAACTAAATATTACATGTAATTATTAGTAAAATCCTAGATTTTTAAGTCAATGGGGATGGACAAATGTTGAAGTAGACGGGGAGAAATTGACTAAGCCAAAAATCATTCTGGAATTCAGAAAAACTCCTTTTCATTAAAGTTTATAATTTACCAAAAACATTTAAAGATCTTCCTACTAGTGTTTTTAAAAAACGACTTAATGTACTACTTTTGGAAATGAATTATTGTATTAATGATTATTTGCGTGAAACATTATAATTAATATTAATTTGATAACGTAATAATATATTCTAATAATGTGATGATGTAGTGATAAAATAATATAAGAATTGACTATAATGATATGACTCATGTGATTGTAGAATTCTACCTTTTAAGGCAAATTTGCACGCCATTATATTTGGCAGAATATGCGAAATTTAGATTGTACCACCATAACATAAATTATTAGAATTATGATTACGGCATACACGTGTAACTTGAATATTTGATGTAACAGCTGGTGGCACGGTTTCAATATATTTCCTTCGACAAATGTCGATCAATGCGGTCAAGGTAGCGGACAGATACATAAACACGCTGCAATTGCTTTTAATCACAGCTAACCAATTTCAATTCTTAATCCTTTACACGTACCATTACTCTTTAAACAATACAATAGTGGCTTTTAAAGAGCTTTTTAACGTCATTATCACCCTCATTTTATTTCAGTCAGGGATTTTATGCTGACACTATTGCTGTAACATTTGTTTATACAAATACTGCGCAAAACACACCAAATCATGCATGGGACTGTTAACCATTAGCGCTTCAAACAACCAACAATTTACTTACAGTAATTGTAATATCAATAATTTTACAATATGTAATCAAATATATCAATAATTCCAGTCCACATGTATCACCAGAAAACTCAAGTCCGTCTACTTCAAAAGAAAATCCAGATATGAGAAACAATGACGACGATTCATCTAATGGCAAAGATACCGAAAAAGAAGGATCCCTATCCGACTGGGTGTCGGGCGGTCCCGTGGGATCCAAAGCGGCCGTACTGGTCTTCCGATCATGTGTCCTCGCCTCCAGAACACCCTCCATGGAATCCACAACAAAAACAGTCGGCAACAATACAGGCACAACGATACTCCTTAACAAAGCGAAGAATATGGCGAAAAGACTCGTAGCCGAGCCGCATTCGTTCAGCGTCCGACCAAAAACAATAATGCACGATGTGATGGAGACATTTGGTAATAACACAAAGTATACGGGTCAGGCGTATGTGGTCAAACATATTAGTGAAGCGGAAATGCCAATAACAGAGTCTATAGAGGAGCAAGGGCATGAAGCAGTCGAACATAAGAGAGATATAGATGATGTACTCAATGATCTCAGTAAAATAACCCTAAAGAAACATTTAAATATAGAAAATACGACAGCTAATATTAAACCGCCAGAACCTCCGCCAGTAACAAAAGGTGAGTTTAATTCTTGACATAACTTACTGGACTTAATTTCCTATAACCTTTAGATAGGACAGAGGGCGTCCACAGCGAGTCTACATCGCGTTCGGTATTGAGTGAGATGGTTGATATTAGAAAAACATCGATATTGACATCGATGTCATATTCGAAAGCCCAACATCGATGTTCGATGTTTATTGAAAACCGAACATCGATGTTGGATAACAGTTCATTACTAATTGACAAAGAAATAAAATACAGTGAAATGGTTCGAAATTTCTTAAACAGGACAAATTATTACATTTTTAATATTTTTTATCAACTGACTGAAGAAAAAGTAATTTTGATAAATAGGAACCTTTTAATATATTTCTTTGTTGACAATGAGTAGAGTGTGAGAGAGAAAGAGCGAGTGAGACTACGTAGAATGAACGAAGGGACGACCGGTGCGCATTGATTGAAGACGCGTGCAGAATTTTAATAACTTGATTTGTGGATGCGTTCATAGAAGACATAATTTGTTTCGTAAGTTGAGTGAGCCGTGAGTTAACATCGATGTTACGGTATTTTTCGTATAGCAACATCAATAATCATGGAGCATCCCTAATTGAGCCTCGTATTTCATCTCGCTCCAAGTCTTTCCGGCTCTCTTTGCCTCATCTGCAACTGTACGACGCCAGGTTTGCCTGGGACGGCCCAATTTCCTTGCGGGTTCCAATCAAGCGGCTGCTTGGGAATATGAATGCGCTTCCCCTTTCCTTGCGGGCGCCTGCTTGGGAATATGATTGGGATCCCTTCGGAGTGTATGGCCTATCCATTTCCATTTACGTCGCTTGATCTGCTGGCTAATCGGAGTTTCTCGGTTGTGCTCCCAAAGTGCTCAACCATTTTTTGAGCCAGAAATAACCCCGCAATTATTTTGTAAGTTCTGTCTGTTTTTAATTAAGTAATGTTCTTCTAGTGTTAAATGTTAAAAACTCTTCATGGGTTTATTGGTAAGGTAACACAAATTTAAATAGTATGTTGCAAGTTAAGATAAAATAGTGATAGATAATTGTTGTCAAATCATAAATGGGTTTAAATAATTTCAGATGCCAAAGATGAAAAGAAGGGAAAGAAAAACAAAGGCAAAGGAAAAAAGAAAAATATTCAAAGGACTGTATCACCGAGTATTGATAGTGACGACTCGGAACAAATGCTAGTCAAAGAAGTAGATAGTATTAAGGTATGTTACTCGTAATGTTTTTAAACGAATATAATGTTTTTTTCTAAATAATCGGTGTAGATACTAAGACTTGAGTGTAATATGCGCCCATAAGTGTTAAAGGTGTGTGTGTATTCTCTTATAAGCTTCATTTAATTTCGTAATCCTACACCTAACATAAATTATTTATAACAAAAATCAATTATACTAAAGATATAGCCAAAGATGAAATACATAATATATAGAAAAATATTCAAACAATTATGACAAAAAAATGATGAAATACGTAATACCTAATTCGGCTGTGTTGTGTGATGGTGTGAAAGTGTACGTGGTGTGTGTGTAGGGTGTGCTCATGATGCAGGTGATTTGGCGCTTTGGATATTACTTAATACTCCTTCTAAGCATATTGCGCGATAGCTTAAACAAGTCACGGTTTTATTTTATTCGGTTTAAGTAAGTTTTAATGGAGTTTAAAAAAAGTTAGTGCTTCGTCATAAGGGCGTCAGATTATGGCGCAGTCGTTATTAAAAGTTATGTAAAAACTAGCTGATCCGGCGGTTTTGCCATGTATGTTTTTTTTTCTAGGAAACATTTTTCTAGTTCAATAAAAATAACTATCTACTATAATAAAAAATATTAGTTGATCGTAGAGGGGTGAAACTTAAGGGTTGTAGGTATTTCTGTATCTTGTATCATAAAAAAATAAAAACAAAATAATTTGTCTTATCACTTAAGGGTTTGAAAGATAGGTAGTCTATTCTCAGACTTACTGAATATGCATACAAAATTTCATGAGAAACGGTCGAGCCGGTTCGTAGGAGTATGGGAACGAAACTTGTGACACGGGAATTTTATATATATACAGTTAGAATGATAAATTCTAATCTTATCGTAATCCCATTTAAGGTATTAGAAAGTAGTCATATGCCGGCCAGAATTCTTAAGATCACCTACAAATTAGTTAATACTGAGACCAAATTGCTGCACCGGTTACTCCAAGCTCATGGTCTTCAAGAAGCCTGTCCTGACGCCAAAGAGTTTAACCTGCTTTGGGCAGGACTGCATCCTAAACCTGATGTGCTGAGGTCTCTATCTGCGTATCAGAGAGTCAATCATTTTCCTAGGTAAGATTTAATTTGTTTTTAGTTAATAAACGTTAAAGTAGACCCTAAATCTTAAAGATTATTATGGTTCATGAATAGCCTAAAAAAATATTTTTAATAATCGCTTAAAATTTGAAAGAAGAAATGAAGTAATAACGTTTATTTGATTAAAGCACACACACACACATATATATAAAAGAAAAATAAACACAATTAAAGTGTAATTAAAAATGGGCCAAACAGTATATATACTGAACAAAACAATAAAAATAATAACTGAAATAAATAAAAATATTTAAAAAACAGAATTTATTTGTATGAATATATTATAGAAGAAAATGAACAATATAGATTTTTTAAATTTAATTGTTTGATGGATATATGAAAATTAATTAATTAAACTTATATTAAATAATGGTTGCCTAAACACCACCCCAATTCTCCTCTTTTAATAAAAATACTTTTTGTCTCTTTCTATCAAATTGTATTTACGCCGTGACGAAAAGAGACAGCTTAGCAAAAGATTATTAGGAAAAGTTAAGTTAATATAGAGATATACGAATGACAACATGGGTATAATTGTCTAAAATATTGAAGGTTATTTATTTATATAATTGTTTGTTATTATAAGATGTCTACCCACACGACTCCGATACTAATGTTTCTATGTACCCTTAGGTCGTACGAACTAACACGCAAAGACAAATTGTTCAAAAACATAGAGAAAATGCAATACTTCCGAGGCCTAAAACACTTTGATTTCATCCCCACAACATTCCTGATGCCGGCCGAATATAAAGAACTGTGTACCACACATTATAGGACCAAGGGTCCGTGGATTGTCAAACCTGCAGCCTCCAGTAGAGGGAGAGGAATTTATATAGTTAATACGGTAAGATCTTTGAACATTAACTTTAATTTAAAACATTTTAATATACGTGCGTGTGAAGGCATGGTGAAAAAAGTGCGTGCTCCTATTTCACCATGCCTTCTGCTGATAGAGGACGAATCTTTGTTTTTAATTTATTGTATTATCATTAATTACTAAAGATGTCGTGTGGAACATGGTGAATGGTTGCAGCTCCTTACAAACGTTTTGAGAGTTTATTGCCAGTTCTTCTCTTCCGTTCTACGCCCTTGATTTAAGAACTGGCAGTAAATGTAAAATTAGAAGCATTGAATGTATTTTTCTTTTTTGAAGTTCATAAGTGTACATTGTGTTACCTACATGAATAAATGGTTTTTGACTTTTATATTTTAATCTGCCTTAATTTAAAAAAAAGTTTTAGAAATTAGATTTAAAGTAAAATTCGCTAGACTAACCGCATGTCAAAATTTGTATTATATTTTGCACAACGTCGAGAGTTATCACTATCAAAAAAATATTGAATTTGACAAACGAAAGTCATACTTAGCGCTAATCCACTACTCTAAATCTTACCCCATAACCCATATACTGTACATTGGAATACTACTACTGTACCCGCTAAGCATTGGAACATCACATCTTCTTTTGTATATCTTGTCAAAAAAAGAGTAGATATATTTCTAGCCATTATTGTCATTAGAGTCTGTACTTGGGTCATCGGGGTGCTTCAAATAATATATTTTATTTTTACTCTATATAACCAGTCGCGTACTTTTTTGGCGTCGGGACGTGACGACCCCATCGCCCACTGGTGAAATAACCTGTGACAGAGGTTATTTCATCAGCGCAATCAGTCAACCCCTTCCTAGTGGGAGTGCCATGCTGTTGCCTTCGGGCTTCAGCCAAATGGGCAGGCACGACCGGGGAAGTACCACTGTCTCTCAGAAAACCGGCGTGAAGTGATGCAAAAGGTTCGCCTTCTTGTACTCGCGTTTCGTGCGGTGAGAGAGATTCCCGGAGCCCATCCCCCCCCCCCACACACACACACTATGAAATATGAAGGTGCAGAAAAAACAGAATCTACCCCAGGGGGGTACCACACGCGCTCGCGGTGGAGAATCCCCCACAGGCTGCCCTTCGTATTCTGGGGGGGCAATTCTGCGATCTACAAAAATAGTAATCGTCCTCGGGGCAAACGGAGCAATTATACAAAGGCACCCCCGTCCACACTCGCCGTGGACTTCACAAATGTTAGGGGGCTTAATTCATAACATCAACTCATTCATCAATCATCATACAACATCATCAAATAACATCAACAATTCATCATCATTAACATCAACGCTGTCCACTATCATCTAGAGACTGCGAAGCCGGCCTTGCTCTTTCTTACCGAGACTCAGATATCCTCCCCGGCTGATACTTCCCACCTATCCTACCCGGGGTACAAATTGGAACATTCATTTGTGCCGCGGGCTGGAGTTTGCGTGTACGTCAGAGAGGATATCTGTTCTCGTCGCCTCGGGACGCTTGAAGAAAGGGACCTATCTAACCTCTGGCTGCGCGTAGACTGCGATGACCATCCGCGATTCTACGCATGCCTGTATAGGTCCCATAGCGGAAATACCGAAACTGACCGACTCATTGAGCGCATCCAAATGGCTACAGATTCCCTGCTCGAAAGGGTTCCTACCGCTGAAATCGTGATACTTGGCGATTTTAACGCCCACCATGCCGATTGGCTCGGCTCTGAAACCACCGATCACGCGGGAAGATCCTTTCACGACTTTGCTTTAGCCTACGACCTGACACAAATGGTCCCTGCGATTACGCGAATACCAGATGTGGATGGTCATAAACCCTCTTTGTTGGACCTTCTGCTGACTTCTCATCCGGAGAACTATCAGGTCTCTGTTGACCCGCCATTGGGTTCATCAGATCATTGTGTGGTCCGGAGTACTGTGCCATCTACGCGCCCTTCACGGCCCCGCTTTATGGGTTGTCGCCGTATTTGGCACTATAAGTCAGCAGATTGGGACGGAATGCGGTCTTTCTTTGCGTCCTACCCTTGGGGGCCTATGTGCTTTTCGCCGGAAGCTCCAGATTCCGTCGCCGCCTCTGTCGCCGAAGTGGTTCTGCAGGGCATGGAACTCTTTATTCCATTTTCTGCGGTGCCGATCGGTGGCAAGTCTCAGCCCTGGTTTAAACGTTCTTGCAAGGCGGCCTCGCGTCGAAAGCGAGAATGCTTTAAGGCATGGGTGGAAGCAGCGAAATCTCGTGATGCCAATACCAGCGAACTTAAAAAAGCATATAACTCAGCCTCCAGGTCCTTCAAACGGGAAATCACTAAGGCAAAGTCAGAGCACATTGCCAGATTTGGCGAGAGATTGGCCCAACTCCTTCAGGGACTCGAGCCTTCTGGTCTCTCGCCAAAGCTGTCCAAGGGAATTTTTGTCAGCCCGCCATTCCGCCACTGCACAGGGAGGATGACTCTCTGGCCCACACTGCGAAGGAGAAGGCTGACCTTTTGGGCTGTCTCTTCGCGTCCAACTCGACTTTGGATGACCGAGGGAGATCACCACCGACCATTTCGCGGTGTGATTCTTCGATGCCGGAAATCACATTCCGGCAACGTACTGTCTGCAAAGCACTATCTTCCTTGGACATTCATAAGTCGAGCGGGCCGGATGGTATCCCCCCAATTGTGCTGCGTACTTGTGCTCCTGAGTTGGCTCCGGTCTTAACGCGCCTTTTCCGGTACCTGTACTCGCTCGGCACTGTCCCGAAGTGCTGGAAGACCGCTTTGATACATCCGATCCCTAAAAAAGGCGATCGCTCTGATTCTCCAAAATAATGGAATCCATTGTTAATTGCCAGCTCTTGAGGTATCTAGAGGGCCACCAGCTGATTAGCGATTATCAGTACGGCTTTCGTCGTGGTCGTTCGGCTGGTGACCTTCTTGTATACCTTACACATAGATGGGCAGAGGCAATTGAATCCAAGGGGGAGGCGCTAGCGGTTAGTTTGGACATAGCGAAAGCCTTCGATCGGGTGTGGCACAGAGCACTGCTCTCGAAGCTTCCAGCCTATGGGCTTCCCGAGAAATTACGCGATTGGATCTCCAGCTTTCTGGCCGATCGGAGCATCAAGGTCGTCATCGACGGAGCATGTTCCGACCTAAAACCCGTAAACGCTGGGGTCCCACAAGGCTGTGTTCTATCCCCGACCCTATTTCTTCTGCATATCAATGATATGTTGAAACTTAGCAACATTCATTGCTATGCGGATGACAGTACTGGGGATACTTTTTACACTGGTCGGGCAGGTATTTCTCGGGCAGTTGTTGATGAGTACCGGAACAAACTTGTGTCTGAAGTTGAAACTCTACTTCGTGGAGTCTCAGATTGGGGCAGACAAAACCTAGTCCAATTTAACCCCAAGAAGACACAAGTTTGCGCGTTTTCCGCTAAAAAAACACCCTTTGTCGCTACTCCTCTCTTAAAGCCACAGCCAGCATTGGAATACTTGGCGTTGACATATCGAGCGACGTTCAGTTTCGCGGTCACTTGGAGGGATAGCCTCCAAAAAGCTTGGTGTGCTCAGCAAGGCGAGACGGTACTTCACTCCGGGCCACCGCATGCAACTATATAAAGCGCAAATTCGGCCCCACATGGAGTACTGCTCTCACCTCTGGGCGGGGGCTCCCCAGTACCAGCTCCTTCCACTTGACCGTATACAACGCAGAGCGGTTCGAATCGTCGACGACCAATCCCACTCCGAGCGGCTTGATCCTTTGGCGTTGCGTAGAGATGTGGGGTCACTCTGCATCTTCTACCGCATTTACCATGGAGAGTGTTCAGAGGAGTTGTTCGGATTAATACCTGCAGCTGAGTTTCATCATCGGACGTCGAGGCAGAATACGAAATTCCACCCGTATCACCTCGAAGTCCGACGTTCCACAACTGAGCGTTTCTCAAGGCAGTTTTTGCCGTGCACCACCACTATGTGGAACCAGCTGCCCACTGAAGCGTACCAATTTTTAAAAGGCCGGCAACGCACTCGCGAGCCCTCTGGCATTGAGAGTGTCCATGGGCGGCGGTATCACTTAACATCAGGTGAGCCTCCTGCCCGTTTGACCCCCGTTCTATAAAAAAAAAAAAAAAAAAACAACAATAGAATATAAGCGAAATAATGTAATGTTAATTGCTATGTAACGAATGAATGCAGTGTAACAGTTGAAGAGAGTGCCTACGTCTGGCTATACTCTCGGGGCGTAACTCCGACGGTTTAGGAACTCCTCGCTAATAAAACTTAGAAAGCCTGAGCGAGCAAAATGTATTGCTCGTACAGATTCTGTGTGGAAAGAAACGTCAGGCCGACTTAAGTGGCTGCAGTTATATTTTTTGGAGTAGTAAACTCCTTAAGAAACGATTTGAGTTATAAGGCCCGGTACGGAAATTTTATGAGGAGTAAAATCAAGTGTAACACGAAAAGTTGAGGCGTTATGTAGAAAGAGACAAACATATATCTGTAGGATTAAACGTGTAAAAGAATGAGATGGAATACATTACACAGACTTTTCTATTTTGAATTCACGTTTTGACAGCCACGTTACAACATTGTCAGTGTTGACAGGTGTAAAAAATAAAAGTAATGGTCAGTGAAATTAAAACTAAAAAGATTGTTCATTCTTATTCTTCTCTTACTATAAAGGTAACTTTGGTCACAGAAAGAAAATCCTATTTGGGCATAGATGATGTAGGTACGTTTTATTACTACTACAAACATTTATATTATAAAAACATATATTCTTACCACCTTTAGTATGAAAAAATGGTCGACAGCCACACAACATTATCGCCATTTTATCGTTCGTAAGGAGTAAACTCCAATCGTACGTCGTAGCTGACACACACACACTTTTTTGTTACGTCGTTATAGTTGGATAATCTTGATACTTATAAAGGTTAAATTTTTACAAATGAAATAATGCGTAGCAAATAACAGTTATATTTGTCGGCATTTCGTAAGTTCCCTTTCTGCAAAGACTGGCAAAACGCTAACATTCGGGTTGTAATATAATTTTTCCATCTTCAGCCAGAACAAATACCAAAAGGCGAGAACGTGGTAGTAGCAAAGTACGTGGACAAACCGCTTCTGATTGGTGGACACAAATGTGACCTACGTCTGTATGTGTGCGTTACGTCCATAGACCCATTGTTAATATATCTGTATGAAGAGGGCTTGGTGCGATTCGCTACTGTGAAATACGATAAGACGAATAAGAATCTGTGGAATCCTTGCATGCATTTGTGCAATTATAGTATCAATAAATATCATACGGATTATATCAAGTAAGTCTGTTTTTATGTCTTTATATATATAATTCTTCCGTACGTGTGTATGTTACTGAACTCCTCTTAAACGGCTGGATTTGTATGCGTTTGTAACATATAAATATTAGATAGATTTAGATATAAAGTGTAAACTCTTTATAATGGCATTCGTTATAACGATAAACTGTCTATAACGTAAAAAATGGTATAATTTCTATTCGTTTAAAACAAATCCCAAACATTAATTCACTCACGAAATAGTCATTCTCTATTACGAAGAAATATTTTCATATTTAGACATCAACAACATACTTAAGTGTAATTGTTAATTTCATTAACACGTGTGTTATTATTCTTAGATGACATTGCCTGTAGGAAATTTTGGTCTCAGTTACTAAACGCACCACAAATTATTATAATTGGTTAAATTGGTGTTTTTCCTCTTCTCTCCCTGTAGCGAAATCTCTCTATAACGAGTTATATATGACGATATTTACACTGTATATATATGACGGCTCATTGGTCTAGTGGTTAGTACCCCTGACTGCGAATCCATGGGTCCCGGGTTCGATCCCCGGCTGAGACAAACATCGATGTGATGTGCATTTGGTGTTGTGCTTAGGTCTTGGGTGTTTAAATATGTATTTATATGTCTATCTATAATATGTATGTATATCCGTTGCCTAGTACCCATAACACAAGCTTCACCAGCTTAGCATGGGACTAGGTCAATTGGTGTGAATTGTCCAATAAAAAAAAATAAAAAAAATAATAATGTTATTTCAGATGTGACGATCCAAATGCAGGTAATATAGGCCACAAATGGACGCTTTCTGCCCTTTTGCGCCATTTACGTAAGCAAGGACGTAACACAGCTGCGTTAATGGCCGCTATAGAAGATCTGGTCGTCAAATCCATTCTGTCATCAGCACAGACTATTACCGCCGCCGCTAGAGTTTTTGTGCCTAATCTTTTTAACTGTTTTGGTAAGTCACTTATGTATGTCATCTGGGGCCCGTGGCAAATTCTTTTGATGGGGCCCTATCAGTAAAAAACGTCCCTACTCAGTTTAATTTTAATAAACTTCAAGATTTTCAGCGTACGCAATTACACGTTGTATATGTCTCACAAATGGCCATAGGCCTCCTCTCTTAGGCGAGAGGCAAACGAAGGAAGGCTCACCTGATGTTTAGTGATACTGCCGCCCATGGACACTCTCAAAGCTAGGGCCTGCGTTGTCAAAGGACCCTTAGGCGAATCTGTTCAGAAATACTTCAGTGTATTGTCTTTGATTAACATAACCTTTACACATTTAAAGAAAAACGCTTTTTACCGGATTAAAGTTATGTTTATTATTATAAATTTACAACTATTTGACATAATTTTAAATTTATCCGACGTTTCGCGTGCTTTACAGCGTGCGTGGTCACGGTGACTGAAGACAAAAGATGTTGAATGTCAAAAAGTATCACAGCTGCAGAGAAAGTTGCATTATCTGTATTTATTTCCCCGGAGTTGGTATCGACTAAAAGATGGAGGGTTTTGGCAAAAATGGCTCACGGTGTCCTCTATTTATAAAAATCTCAAAAAGAAAAACAATCTGCGAAAATAGAGGACACCGTGAGCCATTTTTGCCAAAACCCTCCATCTTTTAGTCGATACCAACTCCGGGGAAATAAATACAGATAATGCAACTTTCTCTGCAGCTGTGATACTTTTTGACATTCAACATCTTTTGTCTTCAGTCACCGTGACCACGCACGCTGTAAAGCACGCGAAACGTCGGATAAATTTAAAATTATGTCAAATAGTTGTAAATTTATAATAATAAACATAACTTTAATCCGGTAAAAAGCGTTTTTCTTTAAATACTTCAGTGGGCAGCTGGTTCCTCATAGTCGTGGTGCGCGGTGAAAACCGCTCAGTTGTGAAACAAGCTACATCGGAACACTTTATTCAATCCGTCTGCTCATTTTCCTTCTATCCCATTAAATAAAGCATTATCGCAAGCTAGCCTACCGCTCATTTTTCTTGTTAAGTTTGTGTTTTCCTTCAGAGGCAAAAACTTACAATCATATGAAACAAGACCACAATCTGAGCTAATAACACAAAATTTTATTAAAAATTAATAATTTATTTCAGAACTATTTGGCTACGATATTTTAATAGATGACATGCTTAAACCGTGGCTCTTAGAAATTAATTTATCACCGAGGTAAGATTTGTTCTTCCTTTTGAATCTACGAAAGCATTATGCATTTCAAAAAAGCAGTTTTATTATTATATGCTATATTTAATATAGAATATATGTATACATTTTGTTGAAGTTATACTTCTTTTGGCGCGTTTAGGAAAAATGATGAGAGTAAACTTTGACGATGCGCGCACACCGTCACATAAAACCGACACCCTGAATTTGCAATAGTCAATATTTTTGTTTTTTCTATTGTTAGGTGTCGTTTTTTCTACAAACGTAGAATAAATTGTTTGAAAAGTTTTTATCTTGTTACGCCAAAGAAGTATAACTTCTATCGCGTGTACATAATTAGTACACACCCTTTTTTTCTTGTTAAACGACCCAATGTTGCCTAATTATCATAATCATGACCGCACGAGCCGAAATAATTCCAGGTTTCATCTTAAATCACTGGAAATCTTCCACAGTTCGCCTTACTTAGATACTTTTGCAAACCTTGCGTGTGGAATTGACTCCCAGTCTCCCTAAGAGACTACCTCCAAGTATTTAAAAAAAAGGGTGCGTGTACTTATGTACGCGCGTAAGAAGTTATACTTCTTTGGCATTATTAAAAATAGTTTTTGATTGCATGCAAATAATTAATTACAATTAAATAATCAAAGACTGGAAAAGGATTCATTATAGTTAATAAAGTTCAGTTTCCATTTGAAAAATTAAATAAATAAATATTTATTATTATTCTCTTACATTAAGTGTAACATAAATTATATTATTATTCGAATGTTGTTATTAAATTATGTCCAATGCCGTAGCATCTTCCGTGGGCAACTTCATTCTGTTAATTTTGTGTCACGGTGCGCGCGCATCAACTCTCATCAATTTTTCATAACGCGCCTAAAGAAGTATATCATCAAAAACGTACTTCCTCCTCAAAAATCTCTACGAGTATAGAAACCACGACTTCGTATACGCCATGCATTACAGTCCATTAAGTGATATGTTTTTTCAGCTTGGCCTGCGAAAGCCCCTTGGATGCCAGAGTGAAATCTGCCCTATTGGCAGATACACTGACTCTAGTAGGATTACCGGCAGTGCCTATGAGCAGGCATGAGCAATCGCCGCAGAACAACTCCCTCAAGATGAGGATCGGAGCCGTGTGTAGCTTTTTATATAATACCGATATTAAAATGTGATATATTTATTTTACAATGAAAAATATCTCTATTCCGCTGTTAATATGATGAATTTATTGCCGAAATTCGTTAAGTGTTTGAAGCATTCAGTTGTTCCATACCTGTCATCAAGACGTCACTATTAAAATATAATATTTTCTCATTACATGTATCTTTTTTGCGAATAGTGGGAATTCTTTTTATAATTTTTGTTTAAATTAAATAAATATGTAATGGTAGATTATAATAGCTTTTGGAATTCACCCACGAATTCAGAGAAATGGTAATAAAAAATCTATTTAAACATACAATCGTGCTTTAAAAAAATATTTTAAAGTATGATATATTTGCGATATTTTGAATATTTATTTTCGTTAAAAAAACAAGCGTGAAAAGTTATTTTCTAGGATCCTAAGCTTTTATATAGAACAGGGGGCAAACGGGCTAAAGGCTCACCGAATGTTAAGTGTTAAGTTACAATGGCAGAGGGCGCGCGAGTTCGTTGCCGGCCTATATATAAAAAATAAGAAACCTATGGTCATTTTGTATATAAAACATTTATCCTTATATTATAATTAATTGCCATATACCAGAAAACTAAAGTCGTTTATTTACAGTGCCGCCGTGTCCACTCAGCAGAAAACGTGTTCGTACGTGGAAAACCTCAAACCCAGGCGGAGAAAGGAATCGCTAACCTCTTAACGGGCGAAGAATTGCGCATAGTACGAGCTGTTCGTGCCCAATACGCCCGGCGTGGGGGATTCGTCAGAATATTCCCTAGTCAGAACTCTTGGCAGAAGTATTCGCAGTATTTGGGTAAGGTTTTTTTTGTGGGTCCTGGTTTTATTAACCCACCACAATTTTTCAATGTGAAGCAATGATTCCTGAGTTTAGCACGTTCACAGTTCTTTAGTTCGTAAGAATTCTAGAATATTTTTGATTGTAATTGCATCTTTATTACGTCATCGTGTGTCAGGTTATTTTCGTTACGGAATTTCTTGATTCGGTCGCCGCGTTCAAAGCCCGAGATAAAATCTATGCAATAGCTTCAAAACATAACATAAAACAGTACTCTATTAAAATATTCACAAAAAGACTAAACAGGGGGGATCGAGTTTGTTTTAAAAGGGGGTCGCAGTCTGTTGAAAAATAATAAACTATAAATCATATTAATTTAATACTATAAGCGACATCTGTGTGTCAGCCTTCGAACTTTTTAGCCATATTATAAAACATAGTCTAAAGATTGTATCGTGTTCGTTGCTATGGTTACCAGTTTTGATAAATACATTGGTCGTTCCAGATCCTGTAACCGGTATCCCGATTTGTTCTACGTCCCTAAATAATAACATCCCCTATACAGTGGTACACAATTACAACTTGTTGGTACATTCCCACGTGTTACCGCATTTCCAGCACGCGCAAGCTGCGACTAGCCTTACGGACACACCGCAGAGGTAGATATGATTAAAGTTATATGTTGTCTATGGTTCTTATTGATCTTGTTAAAATTGCCAGGAAATGTAAATTTTATCTCTAAAAGTTTTTCTCGTACAAAGGTTACCTAAATGTATAATTTTACTTTATAAATCCATACTCTATGGTTGAGATTAAAAAATGAGACTGTCAAAACTCAGTGTGTCGCACTTGTCTATCTCTAGAACTACTCGGAGAATTGTAAGAATATATTTTACTATTATAATGTGTTGAATAGAAAATAATTCGTTTAATTTCACGATCAATAGAACATTAAACATTAACCCTTATGTATACATAATTCGTGCATGCAAATTAAAGCTGTAAGTACAAACATGGGGGCCTCATAGCCTAGCGGTCTTATTAAGTGGCAGCTAGGTGAGGGGTACCGGGTTCGATTACCGGTTCGAGGGCAAGTTTTAATTTAATTTAAATTTGTTCTCGGCCTTTGGGAGGGTTGTGCGGTACCGGGCGAGTGCTTAAAAATTATTATAACCTAATTTTTTTTTAGCAAAACTCTTGTAAACCAATACTAATATTTGTTAGATTAAAACGTTACGAGGCTGTATGCATCGCGGGTGCGGCGCCGGCAGTTCAGATAAACTCCCCTGGTGAGGCAACCGCGCCTCCAAGGGACGCCAAAAGAGCCAAAGAACTCATCAAGACCCAACTCACTGACGGGATGAAGTTGACGTAAGTATTTTTCATAGTTTTATAAAATACATATACAGTGCACTACTTTTCGCACGTCTTTTTATTCATATCAACTATAATTCCTTAACATATGATTTTTCCGGCAACGCACTCGTGAGTCCTCTGGCTTTAAGAGTGTCCATGGGCTGTGGTATCACTTAATTAGATAAGCATCTTGCCATGCCCCTGTTCTATAAAAAAATGATCCTTCAAGCCGGATAACGTCGCTATTATCCGATAGTTGGCGAACAGTGAGAACAATAGACGCTTGCCTAAGAGATAAGAAATTGTTGGAAGGATTGGGATTTAAGCTAAATAAAACCTAAATAAAGTACATTTTATATATGTCACAGCCAACTAGCTTAATTAGCCGTTCAATAAACAGCCTAGACTCTTAAATAAACAGCGCCGTTTAACTAGCGGCCTGAAAGATATTCAGCCGTAGCCCTCGTAACATTTAATACTGACAGGCTATTCGTTCGATAGAGTGATCATGTGACAGAAATAATTACCAAGTGTGTACTCTTGTACACACGTTAGAAGTTATACTTCTTTGGTATAACAAGATAAAAATCTTTTCAAAAATTACATTCTACGTTTGTAGAAAAAACGACACTAACAATAGAAAAAACTAAAATGTTGACTATAGCTAAATTCATGGTGTCGGTTTTTTGTGAACGTTTGCGCGCGCACACGCTCATAATTTTTCCCTACTGCGCCAAAAGAAGTATAACTTCAAAAACTGACGTGACGTGTGTCAGGCACAGAAGGTCAGCCGTCGACTGTTTAGGTCTAAAGCGGTTTCATCACGATATTTTCTACTACGTTGATTGAACACTCTGTTCTTCGGATTTTGTATGTTTCAGTATGGGCGAAGGCCGTCGCGCCTTTGGCCTATACCTGACCCACGTGCTCAAGCGCATATCGTCTCCGAGCAACGAAATGGCGGTGCAACACGCAGCCCTGGTCCTCCGATTCCTCAGAAGAGCTTCGGCCTCTCTGCGAATGCCTTATAATGTAAAGGTGACGATATATACGCATGCCGCTTTACTAACCACGCCCTGGTTCTAAATGTAACACTCAGAAGCGGGACTAAACGTCAAGTATGACAATGTCATACAATTTTGACGTACGTAAGTCAGCTTTAGCGCTAAGTGTCATTTCCGAATTTCTCTCTAAATACCAATCGTTTTTTCTACGAATCATTAAGAAGAAAAATCCTTCCTAACTCCTATTATTATTATGCTATTATTTATTTATTTAAAGATTTTTTCTTTATATGTGTACAATTCAAAAATTTTGGTTTCAAGACGAATGTAATTTTAATTTAACTAAATTAACTTTTAAATTTAAATTAAAAAGTAACAAATTACGATTGGTATTCTACATATAGAACCCGGGAGATATACGCTGCTTGACTTTACTAATGTACCTCTATTCATAACAAATCGACCTAATTGCAGCGTTTGGAAGTAGTCATCTCTCTTTTCATCACGTGTAAACACTATTTGACAGAAAGAGACGAAAAATTACCTAGTCTGCAATTAGATTGATTTCGTTTTTAGGAATAAATACGAATGCTTTTCTAACTTAGTGCACTGTTAAAACAAAACTAATTTATTTTTTATTAATATGGTAGATCAGTTCTTAGAAATTTTTAGTATTTTAAATGTGGTTGCACAAAAAATGCATGATTTTAATTAGAATTTGGTCTACAACTTTTTTTTAGTTTATTTTGTGTTCGTCGTAATCGTTGTTTTGCCTCTTTGTTAATATAAGTTATTTCTTAGAATTTCACCTTGAGTCAGACAGGTGACACATTTATTTGTTCATTTTTCTTTCATAGACAAGTGATCAGCCTTGCTTGACTCATAATATTGTCGCGTTTAATTTTTAAGAAAATTATAAATAAGTTTCTTGTTTAAAACACTCCGTTTGCAAATATTTCCTTAAAAAGTAAACAAACTTTTAATGTGGAGCACCGCACTGAATAAAATTGATACATTAACTAACAATAAAATGTATGTATAGACTCAGATAGGGATGTGAAAAAATAATCGATTATTAAAACGATTTTTTACGCGATTTGTATATTTAAAATAATGGATTAATAATCGATTATTTTTATAATTGAAAATCAATCATAGTCGATTTTTCATCTGCCACCTCCTGACATTATGTCTGGTCTTTTATAACCCGGACCTCGAACTATTAGGGATATTCGATATACATCTATGTTAACAATGCGATACATTGAATCCGATTCTTTGAAGATGTATTGATATACTCGATGCATTAATGTTTTTTTGTAAAACATCGAAAGGATGATATAACCAGTAAATTTTACAAAAACTCAAGTTTGAATGGAACACTCTAATTTAAAAGTAAAATAAATTTATCCAGCAGCACAAGATTACATACAATTAAAAATACAACAAAATACTGCAATGAGCTACTGAAAAGGCATACACTCAGCATTTATGAAATTTCACCTAAAATCTATCAAAACGAGATTAATTTAATTTCGATTTTGATTATTTTTAAACGTTAATTTGTGTTTATAATTTCTATTGTTTATTTTTAATTACAAAAACTATGAAAATAAAATATTTAGGGTGTTTATTTTGAAATTAATTCAAAAATTAGGAAAAAATCGATTTTTTATGCAGAATTTCACATCCCTAGTCACTCAGATGTTCAGCCTCGTATTGAAATTGAAAAATGTGCCCGGCCAGAAGGGTGTGCCATCTCTGACATGTCAAAAAATTATAGCTGTCAGAATTCTACGGAATTAAAAATCAGAGTATAGTCCTAAGTCCAGCACTAATCATTTAATTTTATTTTATGAAATCTCGCTGTTGGCCTTTAGGGCCTTTACATCTCAACTCGGGCTTTAATTATTATTTAATAAAATTCACAAATGTACGTATAACGAACGTATTTTGGAAGCGCGTTTAATTTAACATATCGCGCCATCTATTGGTAAGAAAATGAACTATTGTGATTTGAACACTGCTTTTTACTTAATAAAATAATTGAACAAAATATTTATTATTATACGTATAGCACAAATAGTTTTAAGTAAGATAGTTTAATAAATAGTAATCCATGACCATGGTCAGGGTCCCCCTGCAAAGATGTGTGACAAGGACAGATGTGCGATCATCGCGAAGCAGCTCAACGATTTCCTGTACATGTACTATCGGGAGACGGATTTATATACAGACAGCAACGACAGAGATGGATGCGTGTCGAATATACACTTCGCACATTTCTTGTATGCCGCTAGGTATGATTCTGAAATTATTTAAGAATTTATATTCAATGTTGCCATGTATAAATTTACAAATTTTTTATAAAATTCCATAACACCTTTTCTGCGCCTAACCTACGTCGTGTAAATGTCGCATCCAACTACCTTAATTAGAAAAAAAAAAAACATGGCGATTAAAAAGAGTGGCGGAGAGTTTATTGCCAGTTCTTCTCTTCCGTTCTACGCCCTTGATTTGAGAACTGGCAGTAAATGTAAAATTAGAAGCATTAATATTTATTTCTTTAATGACGAATCACAAGTGTACATTGTGTTACCTACGTGAATAAATGATTTTTGAATTTGAATTTGAGAATGACATGACATAGACTCACGATGTATTCCTTCACTAGTGAGTGTTAGTGTCATAGAACAGTCCATTGCTGCACAGCTGGGGATCGAACCCACGACCTCAGAGATGACAGGCGCACTTTTAAACCGTTTATAGATTTGATACAAAAAAATATAATGTGAATTATTTTTTTGACGTGACAACGTCTTATAATTCGATGTTTTTTCGTGCGTGGCTGCACGCACATGCACGAACATGACTCATGCGGCGTTACCTCGCTCTGAGGCGTTCCATTTAAGGTTTGAAGTGCAAGCGAGAGCGCGAAGCGACAGAGAGGCACAATCGGACTCCGCGCTCTTCAGCGTTCGACATCTGTCTCTCTCCTACTTGAGTGAGCGATTCGTGACGTTGTCACGTTCAACTATCGTCAGTAAACCGACTTTACAGACAACCGATTTTTTTTGTAACTGGTACAATACTTCTAAATATTTTACATCCATAAAAATTATGCTTAAAATACACAAGTTATATTAATACCGATTTTTGATACAGTTTTTCTAAGTTTTCTGTATTTTTTCTAGTGAGGCCGATTTAGAGGACGTATTACTTTTGGTCCTTCGATCGGATAATTGGGTGGCGACGTTCTTAGGCGATACTAGAAGTGCATTGTGCGTTGACGCGCCACCCGCGAGATTGGCGCATACAAGCAAACATACATTGTTGAAGCATTTGGCTGCGGTCGCGCCTATCAATTGTAGAAAATACAGGTATTAATAGATATTTTTAAACAAAATGGATATTATATTTACTTAATTGGGTTATTAATTTCTTTCAAATCACAAGGTTAATTATTTAACGTTCAAAGTTAATATAGTAACACGGAAAAATAAATCCGTATATTTTTTCTTGCTACAGTTAAACCTTTTCTGATATTTTGATACTGATTCTTGGTCGTATTTTGTTCTAATCATATTAAAAGCAATTAACTGTACTTTTGACAACTCAATTACGCTGAAATATATTGTTTTTAATGTATGTATAAAAAAAAATTGGTATCATAATAAAACTAACAATGATCATACACAGAGGCACAGAACACTTATAAAATCATATGCATAAGTTGTTTCAACGCCATCTAGCGACAGTATCACACAATCAAACTTTTGACACAAAATCAATAAAAGAAATTACTTCTCAGGCCTACCATGGACTCGTTGAGTCGTTCGGAGTCGTCCAGCGTCGCTCAAGAGTCGGATTCGTCCCCCCCTCCGCCCCCATACACCACTTCGGACATCGTACTTAAAGAGTCGCTCAAGGAAGAGAAGCCGCTCAAAGTGGCACTTAAGTACGCGAGATCATAGCAATATTATTTAATACAATATTAATTAAGTCCGAGAAAGAATTTCAGCAATTTTTTTTTTTTTAATTTAAAATTGAACGTATTAAAATGTTTAACTAGTTACCAAATACCAAATAGTACTCATTAATACATCGAAATAGATACTGCACTAATGTAGCCATAAACCATAGATTAAAAATACGGAATAGATAAATTAGGGTATTCCAATTTTTTATATTTTCGTTTTAAATTAACTCCATTTATTTCACATCGTTTACTTGCGTCACGCTTGCGGTGCCTACAACTTTATCTATTCCTAGAACATATTTGTAGTTAGTTCAATATGAGGGTACACCGATTACAACTAGGTTTAGGTAATAATAAAATCTATTTTTCCATTAATGCCATTATGCGCTTTTTGTATAAAAATATAGAAAACTAGTAGAAAATTTCACTATGCTTCGAAAATCATATTTTTACACTAAAATCTAGGTTAAGACATTTATCTCTCCTTTGTCAAGTAATTTCTGTCAACAATAGACAATTCGATTATAGAAGAAATAGAGTCTAAATCGAATTGATTTCGACAACATTAAATTACGAACCCATTGTAATTACAGTAGATTTTTTATTGTATATGTTTCGTAAAACACCAGTAAATTCGCCTTCCGAGATTTTCATGATTTGACTTAAAAATCCTCAAAAATATTGACCTCTTAGGTTGACATTTAGAACTTCAAATTACCGACCTATTATAATTACAGTAGATTTGTTAGTGTCATGTTTCGTAAAACATCGGTAAATTCTCCTACCGAAAATTTGATTACTAGACTAATATTAATAACCAGACTCACTAATAGATTTATATATAAAAAGAAAAACCGGGTTCGTTCGTCAAATCCTTTTCCACATACATACATATATCACTGACAGTAATTACATTAACACATAAAACTGTAGAACAGTAAAATTGAAATACGTTTGCTAAAAATCTACTAATTTATTTAAGTTGAGAATATCGCTTTGAAAATTTTAGATATATCGTATTACGCAACCAGCTTTTATGCTTCAAACGTTGCCATTCATTAGTACAATTTAATATTAAATTAAGTACCTGGCAAATAGGTGCTATATAACGAGAACCATTCGTATTGTCTACGAGTGGTTTTTAGCCGGGCGGTAGCTGTGGAAGTTAATAAATTGTCGTTTAGTAGACTGAGCTAAGTGTCTTGCTCTTTGAACACGTTTTACATGTTAGAGCGAGATGAATGTGTTTCAGAACATATGTTAGAGTGAGATGGCTATGTGTTCCAGAACATATGTTAGAGTGAGATGGCAATGTGTTCCAACTTTATTACATAATATAATTAAAATTAAACCCCAAATGTTAAGATAATAGACCAAAACAATAGTTAAATGTTCGATTCATTCAAATTTGTTGAAAAAAAAATTCGTCGTAATTATTATTAGTAAAGATGCTAGTCGTGTTCGCGTTTGAATAAATATACTAGATATTATTTATTAAATTTCATATTTTATTGCATAAATCTAATTGTATCAAACTTACATACTGCGGAATAAAGTTTTTGTTGCCATGATTACTAACAGGCGAAACCAGAGTCATGGGAGGTCATTAACCCAACGCCCCTCCCCGCGCCCCAACTGAATCCAAGACGTATAAAACAGATGATTAATTAAATCTTTATTTCTTACTAAAACGTGGGTTTCCAGTCTTAAATTAAAAGTACAGAAAACATCAGAAAATCATTCTATTATTATCCATAATGATAGTAACCATGGCAACAAATATCGTACTTTAAGTTTAAGTAACAAAATTAACAAATTTCAAATATATTGCTTTTATTTAGAATAAACAGAATTCAAATTCGATTCTAAAATTTGTAATCCTTGTCAGCCATAGATAACATTATAAATTATTAATTTACACAGACTTATAAAAACTAAGCTGCAGTACTCTTTCGTCTCTTTCTCTCAAATTGTGTTGACGATATGATGAAAAGAAACATTAGTACTTCGGTGCAATTATTGATATATTATTGAATAAGATTTTTCCTTGTTTGACACAATGTATTTTGAAGTTAAAATTAATTTTATAAGAATTTTTATTTTCCTGTCAATTGAGTATTAAAATCAGTTTAATTACACGGCTTTAAGTGCATTTATCTCTTTCTGTCAAATTGTATTTACGGTGTAATGATAAGAGACAGATGAGTTAAAATGGTGTAATGAGACTGATTTTTACGTGTTTCTACGAATAAGGTTAGATTCGAAATATTTTATTGCTTTGCTTCAAAACCATTTGTGATTAATGTCAGTTAATTAATGTAATCATTTTAATCTCTGCAATACGTTATTAAAAGTTTTAAGTGATATTTTGGTTTTATTTTTAATTATTCCTATTCATCGTAAAATATTTAATGACAATTTTTATTGATTTAATTATGACATAATTTATTAAAATGCCAAAACAATCAGTGGTGCGCTTTTTAGGTCTGGGCCTCAGATGTCTGTTTCTGTTTCATTTGTCAATCTAATAGGCAAGTAGGTGATCAGCCTACTGTACTTGTCACACGCCGTCGATTTTTTTCAAGCAAGCCGGTTTCAGCGAATGTTAAATGCGCACATAGAAAGTCCATTGGTGAACAGCCGGGGATCGAACCTACGACCTCAGGGATGAGAGTTGCTTGGAATGCTTGGAAGCTTCAATTGTTATCATCAATTGAAGCTTCCAAGCATGTGTGCTAACGTGTTTTATAAATATTTGCCCACAAAAATAGGAAAAAAAATATCTAGTTTATTATTCTGTAAGCGGATACAATAATTGCCTGAAAATTGCCAGTTAATTTTGCCTTTTCCGACACCACGCAAACAAATGAAGTCTATTTTTTAAACACAAAGAAGAATTGATTGCGTTTTTTTGTTATTATTTTATCCAATATCTGGGCTCATAGGCATAGTTGTTTTTTCCGAGAACCTGGACGGAGATCGGTAATGAGTAATCTGCGTAACGAAAGTCGAGGCTCGAAAGCGGTGTTGCCAGTCGACGCACCATTTTAACAAAAGGACTTGAAGTGGGCTGATTTTACTGTGCAGTAGGAGAGTTGGAGATAGGTGGAATCCAGGAAGAAAAGTAAAGAAATAATTTATAACAACGCTTAAAATATTTCGTAAAAAAGTTTTCGCAAGAGTAGCATAAAAAAAATTTGGGTCGTAATATATAAGAAAAAGGTTACAACGTAAGTTTATTTTAACAAAAGTTTTACATAACGGAATTATGTACTTAAATTTAAAATTCTCTTATTCGTTCCTTCTAAGCAATTTCGCTCTCCATTGGGGTATTTTTTCTATAATATATAATATTAATTTTATATATTACATAACCCGAAATTAATTAAAAGTTTAACTTTAATTTATTTTCGATTGATGTTCCATGCATTCTACAGAACTCATATAGAAGTAATTTTATGTATATATAATAACATGTCTTAATGTCATAATATCCTAGAAAGTAAATAATTAACTTCAAACGTAGTAATAATAACTCTGACAACGCTGGTCGAAAGTCGAAATTCCAAGCATTATTTTATGGTAAAAAATTCCGCTTGTCTATCTCAAGGTTATTGATAACCAATAGAATAACCTAATCGAGCGTCATTGACCATAGTGAAATAAAACAACCAATAGCTACACGAAATGGCGTGACAACTGACATTTGTCTTGTGACGTTTGTATCTTTCAGCCGGCTTTCGTTTTGTCGGGCGCCGGCAATTCGCAAATCGGACCACGCGCCCGCCATTTTGTAATACAAGCGTTTGTGGATAGGTGTTGGACGTGCTCTTGCTTTGTGTGAACTTATGAAATTATTAAACTAATAGATCGTAACGCAAACAAATCATCAAAATGGTAGCGGTAAGTAAATTTTAATAAAATACTGCATGAGTCGTTACGTAAACAGTGTTCTAAATTCTAATCGAATGCGTATATTTTAGCAAACCAAAGTGTTTGTGGGGAGCTTGCCCCAGGGCTCAAAACCGGAGGACTTGAGGAAGCTTTTCGAAAGGTTTGGAACCGTGACCGAATGCGACATAATGAACAGATGTGGATTTGTTCACATGCAAACCGAAGACCAAGCGTCAGCAGCCATTCGCGCCTTACACAATACCACTTTCAATGGTGGCGTCATCGCCGTGGAGCGAGGAAGGATCAAGGAGCGTGGCCAGCGAGGCGGCGGGGGCGGCGGCCGAGGTGGAATGCGAGGGGGCATGAGGGACCGACGCGGAGGAGGGCCCATGCGCGGAGGACCTCCGAGGGATGCACCTTACCCTATGAGGGACTCGCGGCCGATGGGGCCCATGCGCGGCGGAGACATGAGAGGCCCACCCATGGGTGGCATGGGTATGAGAAACGGCATGGGTGGCGGAGCGCCCTACGACCGGGGCATGGATCGGGCGCCGATGCCCGGCTACGATGACAGATACAATGGCTACGGTGAAGACAGACGCGGTTTCGCACTGATGGACGGCCGCGGAGCGAGAGACCAGTATGGAGCGCCTCCTCCCATGTACCCGGACGACAGGCGAGGCTACGGAGCCGTGGACGAAATGGCGCCGATGTATCCCGATGATAGGCGTGCGCCGCCCATGTACCCCGACGAAAGGGACATGATGGACAGGCGGGGAGGTATGCGAGGTGGACCCATGCCCATGGCTACAGGATATGATAGAGCACCACCAAGGCCAGCACCAATGGGCAATGGAGATATGTATAGTCGAAGAACTCCTCCACCAATGTAAGTTCTAATACATTTTTACTTGCTTACCATCACAGTCAATATTCTTTATACTGCATATATGTAGAATATTCCTAGTATTACTTTATTTGTTTATCTAACAATAAATAACTATTATGAATTTGTCATTTCCAGGCGTGGTGGGGGAGCAGCCGGAGGATATGACCGGGATCCTTATGCTCAACAATATGCGCCCATGGGCCGGTAAGCATTTTACTTTATTCATCTAATTTGGCCTCTAGTGTGTAGCCAACAGCTTATTGTTTTGTTAAATAACTTGGTTCAACACATTTAATAATTTGCAATATAATTTTTTTTACCTTTTAATAGAATATCATACAACTTTTACTTATGGGTTGACATTTCATTATTAACATTACTGATAACCCTTTCATAGACTACACTAGTTAATGGTTATGGGTAAATATTGTTGGTTAAATGGATTGTTGATCAAGGGTTTTGTTTTTAAATGTTTTACATTTATTGCTGAGATTACCGGAATTTTGATGTTTTTCAAGGAAGTAACTTGAGTGCTTCTAAATTGAAATACACATTAATTTACATATAAATATAATTTTTTTAACAATAACTGTTGGTTACCGCTGGTTGCTTTGTAGTTTTGTTTTCAACACTTAGCACAGCTCATTACACACTTTTGAATATAAATACTTTCCATTTTTGTTTAATAATATAAGTTCTTTAAAAGAATCATCTTTTCTATGCTTCTAGAATATTTTTATTTGATAATGATGATTAATTATTTACACTAAAGCTAGATAAAATGATGGAATAGTATTTATAGTGTGATATAGAATCATAAGGTTGGTCACCTCATACCATAATAAAATCAAATATAAACTATTTATATTCTTAATTTGCTATAAAAATCTTACGTGAGCGAGGGTTCAAAGTAACTTCATTACTTTCGCTCATGAACTAGTAACAAAAGCCTACTCAATCGAATACGAGCCGTGGAACTAGTATGTCTGGCCGCGCCACAATTGGCCAAATGTGCTTCGTAACGTCGCCCCGGCGTCCGGGGTGAGGTCCGAGGCTAGCCGGGCGCTGACACTAGTTTCGTTTGCAGCTACGCACAAACGCAACGTTATCCGTAAGAGTAGGCGATGCGGTGCGGCGCGCGCGTTAAAGCTAAGCGGCTGTTTGTGTTTAGCGCGTGTGCGGGCGGCGGCGGCGCAGGCGCAGGGCGCGGGCCGCGCACCAACAAAAACTGTATAGCGCTCGTCTAGCGCCTTCAGCGACACTAGCGCCGCTTCCTTCCACGAGTCGCACTCACTCGCAATCGCTCCACGGCACCCTCGGATTCCGTACCGAATCATGTAAATCTCGATCATCGACGAGCCAGTAGATGGCGCTACTACGCTGCTGCAAGTCGTATTTCCAAGTAACTACATAGAACGATAACGGACTTTTGTAACGCCCTAACATATGTATTTCAATTCTTGTATATTAGACTGCGCCACTTCTATATTTTGTGAACAAACTGACAGAATAAGTGAATAACGCCATCTAGTGATTTTTATTATTATTTGTGGTATTAAATCTATTTAAATCGGCAATCAAATCTGTACGTGACGCGAGACGCCTCGCGCTCTGAGCGATAATCTTGAATTGTATAAGGTATTAAGATATAAGATTTAGATTAAACAATTTGTTTTAAATATTGTTTGAGTTTACGATGCCACCTACCCACCTCACCCGAACGATCCCTCCCATCCTCGATTCCGGAGTGATCTAATACAATTGAGTTGCAGGACGACGTTTCGCTTTACCGAGATGGGGACTTAGGTTAAGCCTAGTTAGGTTCATCGTTGTCGTTAACGTTGCGAGCTTTCTATGGAAAGTGCGTGCGAGAATTTCAGACGTATACGGCGTAACGGGCGGCTGAGGCATAGCCGATGCTATGACCTTCGAGTTACGGCAAACGTTTGCGGCGGCAGAAGACGTCAGTATCAATCGTAAGTACGGGAGCCGTTTGCGTATACCAATGGACTTTGCGATTTCTGAGCACGCGTGGATCACACGTTTGCGCACATACAACCCGTTTGTCTACACAAGTAGTTCAGATTTTAATAATTAATTCTCAAAATGGAACATAACGAAATTAAACGTACCTGAGCTTTGTAAAGCCAGTGGCAATCGAACTACGCATTTTAACGACATTAAAATAACGGCGCACGCTCATACTTTTTTAAAATTTATGTACTAACGATTCATATTTTGCAGGTATGACACGCCGGGATGAAGAATGTAGCTTGAGTGTTCAATTTAATACTTGAATTGTATCTATGATTTACTATGCAGCTACGTGTTGGGTGAAATAAACGATATACGAAACATATATTTATTTTATTATATCACAAACTACATATACAATACAATTTCTTTTAAACAAACTCAGCTTGTGCTGCGTAAAATTAGGATTAAATCTTATATACGAAATAATATTAACCAATAAAATAAAGCAATACATTTTCATAGTATTTACATATAAAACAGCACTTTACGACGAAAGTATTCAGATCTAAGTGTCACCTCAACGAATCGAGATATAGAGAGGCGTTGTATATTGACCTAATTAATTTATTTACTTCGTAATTTATTGAGGTTTTTATGAAGTCTGCTACGTTGTCATTGGCTACAGAGCCACAGTCGTTCGGCTCGCAATGGAATATATCCAAAATTTTCAGGGTCATTTTCCCCGGATCGTTGTGATGGACAGCTTTTGGCGAGATCCGTTTTGCTTTTCTGAACAACTTGTCGGCAGCTATTGTCAAATTGCTTGAAATTATGTCGTTACCCCGTCTCACTTCGTTACGTGCCATTCGACCGAATAAATAACCTGAAAGAGGGTTTTTACATTATGTACCTAATAAGTTTTATTTAGTCTCATTCCGGATATCTGTAGTATTACATTATTAAACGACAATATCCAGCTTTGTAGCTTTTCTCTAATGAAACTAGCGTAAATCGAAATGTCGTCCGATTACTTATTTTACAAACTAATATTTTCAGTATGAGTTATTTTAGAAAATAATTTAATATAGATATAAAACTTCTTAAAAAGTTTACATGCACTTGGGCAAGATACACAATGCCCCCAATTTTTCCCCTAAAGTCTAGCCAAACACATACCTGCGCAAATACACAGGATCCCAATAAGACACATAAGAGTTGCACAAAGTCTTCTAGTGACATGTGGATCCGAGCCCGTACACGATTTCGAAGTCATTTTACAAAATTCCACAATAAATTCGGCCGTGCAACGCTATTTAGTCTCGCGCACTGACTATTTTTAGTTCGGTGATGTTTTGTCTGTATGGATCAGGAATCTTTGCTTTAGATGACAAACTTCGGCGTTTTTTACTAATTCGTGGAGTTACTAATAGTATCCTATTCTGCTATGTCTATGTTTTCTAAATTATGAATATCAGGGTATGCATAAATGTAAAACTTACGAATCAACACAATGATTCAGATTTTTTCATATTTTTCTTATGGTCATTGAAACATTTTTAAAATGTTTATGAATAGTTAATGTGTCGTAATTCAAGACAGACTGAGTAAAACTACAATATAGTTTACAATCATTTATTAAATTTTCTTTACATAATATTACACAATACTACACTGCTTTGGTCATGGCACATCTTTGAAAATATAGATTATTTATAGATTGTTAGGTCTTTAATAGATACTTAATATTAAATCATCTAAATAAGCTGGGTAATTTTAATTTTTTTACATAAATGAAACAAAAGGGTGATTATACGATCCTGTTAATACGTAGGCTAAAATTTAACAGTTCTCGATTATTCTAGAACTAAGAGGTGAGACATTTTCAGATCAAATTCCTTAGCAAGAGAGATAAAGTAATAGTAGAAAATCAAAATTCATAATTATTTCCTGGATTTCAAAAGCTTATTTTGGCGTTCAGATTCCTCTTGTATGAGTACAAACTCTTAAATGGTGACAATACTTCACAATTAACCACTATACATTAAGAAAATAACAAAACAAATACTCATAATTAAAAGCTAATAATATTTACAAAATATAAAATTATTTATTGACATATAAATTTTAGGTGACTATTTGACGGTTCGCAGTTATCTGTGGAACACTACTACTATATACACTATTATTGAGTCTGGGAAGACTCAAAAATAATGTATTCTGTGAAATGCCCGCATTTTTATTTTTATTAATTCATGATCTTGTCTGGTTTTATTATGAATTGGAAGAACTGGCAACAAATCAACATCCTCTCATCTTACCTCCGTATACTAGCATCATCATCAGTCATTCCACAAATTTTGACAGCGCTTAAGGGAGCGTTAATTTGGGGGAGGGGTCCTTTTTATAATTATTGAATGACGCGTTATTGTTAATATTATTTTCGACTTTCCAGTACTTTACACCACATAATGGTAACTTTTAGGTATAAAGAGTCACTAGGTGGTCACGAAACGTTTTACTAATTTCCAAAAATTGCGTGACGTAATACTTGAACGCTCCCTAAGACTAGTCCTGATGAACTGCGAACTATTCCGAATCTTTATGACGTTTCGGATTCATATTAAACAGTTCTTTGAGGTCCTCGATCGTCAGTTTAGAGGCATTGTGGCGAGCTCCAGTCAATACATTTTCCGCTAACTTGAGTTTGGCCTCCTGCAGTTTCCGGATTGACTGTTCAACTGTCTCTACACACATAAATCTGAAATTTTCAATTTTTTTTACAATGTATTTTAACTATCTATACTAACATTATTAAGAAGACATTTGTATGTTCGTAAGGGTAAGCTCAAAATGTACTGAACCGATTCCAAAAATACTTTTACTATTAGAATGCTACATTGTCCCAGAGTAACATGGGGTGTTTTTTCCAGTAAAAACATGCCGTGCAAAACCGGAACACAGTGCTAGTTAAAAAAAATATAACGGGTTTCACAAATAAAACTAAAAAAGTATTACTAGTACAAAAAGTTCTTTCATGTTACAGAAAAAGATAGATTTTTATAAAAATTCTTAATTCTTAAACGCAAACACCAACATAGATAGAACAATAATTTGTTCAAGTTCAAAGTTGCCACACCTGATTCTCAGAGTAGGTACTACCGGATTCGGATGATCCAATTACACATTAAAAGCCGCACCCGCAGCAATTCAAAATCAGATTAGGGTAAAAAAACCATCACCGGGAAAGGCGTGGAGTACCACGGCATATAGGAATACTATGTACTTCGCTCACTCCAGTGAGCTTCCGTCTTTCCCTTCAGGAGATTGACCACCCCGCGACGTCCCAAGCCGAGGTCCGAAACTCAACAAAGGCCGAGCTATGCTCGCTGAAACATCCCGAGCTTAGTTGTAAAAGCCCTTAAGGCCAACAACGAGATTCCATTAAATAAAAATAGATTTACAGATCGAAGTCTTAAACGACTCATGTTGCATATACGACGTCAATATACCGGATATATGTAAAAAAATGTGGTATATTCCATGAAAAGCCGGCCAAGTCAGAGTTAATTAATAAGTTTGGTTCAGCACAAATCTTGGATCGATTCAAAATCACATAACTACTATTATTTTCCTTTTTATTCGCTGAAAAAATTAATTTTCAGATCATAAACCGTTTAATTTACTTAAAATGAAATCTCGTGAAACGTGAAAACATGACAAAACTTAATTAAGTATCTGCGGTTTATAGTACGTTTACTACTTCTAGCGGTAAGACAACAACATATACGTAATGGCAATATGCCTTAACGTATATGGAGTTGTCTTTTTTCGAAAGAAAAGATACCCAAAAAATATACTTTTCATTTTTAACCACCAAATTTTCTCTAAAGATTCAAAACTATCACTAACAATCTGTCCTATACTGAAACGAACAATAGGTATTATTATTGTGCAACAATAGTTTAAGTATAAAATTCTCAATATAATGTCGAAATTATTACTTCAAGTACAGTTAACATGTCCATAAGGAAGAGACTAACTGGGAACACAGGGAATTCTAGTGTGGGCACTTTATCTTTTAAGAAAACATCCTTTTTTATTATTAGTAATAAAGTGTTTTCTTTTCTTCTCTTCTTCTCTCTTTAATCTCCATAATGTCATTTAATTTGTTGCACATGTTTAGTTTGCTATTTTTGAAGTACATCTTTAGACGCGTTATGAAAAAATTGATGAGAGTGAAATTTTACGATGCGCGCGCACCGTGACACAAAATTAACAGAATGAAGTTGCCCACGGAAGATACTACGGCATTGGACATAATTTAAAAACAACATTCGAATAATAATAGAATTTATGTTACACTTAATGTAAGAGAATAATAATAAATATTTATTTATTTAATTTTTCAAATGTAAACTGAACTTTATTGACTATAATGACTCCTTATTTACTTTTATTTATTTAATTGTAATTAATTATTTGCATGCAATCAAAAAATATTTTTAATAATGCCAAAGAAGTATAACTTCTTACGCGCGTACACATGTTTGATGATTTGCTGTTTTAAAAGAGTACCGAGAGTTTTTTACGCCGGCTTTTCTCTCGGCCTACACCCTCTGTCTTCTTTGCCGATGAGTAGGGATGCCTTCAAATTTAATGACGTGGAATAAGTGATACATGTATCTTATGTTCCATAATAAACATATTTATTTATTATTTATTATCATAAGTACACGCACCCTTTTTTTTAATTAAGATACTGTATATTTTACTATGTATTTTTTATGTGTATATCTTTTCGTAATAACTATAGTTGATTATATATTCGTTACGTATTTTTAAATCTAGTTTTATTACATAATTTTTCGATACGTAGGGAATCCTAAGAAAACATGAATGGATAATTATAAAAACACAACTCATTAGAGCTTTATGACGCACATGAAGGCGAGGCGTGTGCGATGAATGACTGACTAAATATTATTGGCACATGCCATGATGAGAATATTCTGCATGTTAAATAGACAGGAATGCGAGTTTTGATAATGTATTACAGTAAAAAAAATTGTATGTAAAAGAGAAAAGCAAAATAATAAAGGTGTACATTAGTACTTAGAAATTGACAAAAAAAATACTATAGGTCGGTTATCGAAAGCTGGCTCGTTCACAGTACTCACACTAATGCAATTTCACTATACAGTATGTTTAAAAATATGACTCTTTTGCCAAGCTATATTTAGTCTACTCTGGTTTTAGTAAGGTGGGTTGTAAATAAATAAAAATGTGTCAAATACATATAAATATTATGTGCATACGAGGGTGGATCAAAAAGTTCTAAGCCCGACCAAGAACGTAAAAGAGTAGTTTGTGTAAATAATAATTATTCATTTTTCGACATAAGCTCCATCTAGCTCAACACACTTCACTCTAACTTCACTAACGATTCTTTCAATACTCCTCTTAGAAACACCAGTCGCATCTGATGTGAAATTAAAAATTACATTTTTTCATTAAACTTTTTTATTAAGATGCTTAAAATAATTAAAAACATTGTACATCATTTCACGAGATTGTACTGGTAATGTTTAGACGGAATATATTTCATAAGACATTTTTTTCAAAGTATTCTAACCTCCAACCAAATAAGTAAACAATCACAGACAAAATAATAATGAGAAAAAAGATCAACATGTACAGTAAAGATCAACATAAACAGTAGCAAAAGCAAAACAATAACTGTCTCTTTTATACTCATAAGCTTGACCGAGAGCGAGAGAGACGGACAGTCTTTTCATGATGCATATTCAGTGTGACATCACGCCTCGCGCTTATTCACAGACACTACACAAGCACAAAGTGTAAATGTGTTGAAGCCGCCAGCTGTAGATAACACACGAGATTAAGCTTCTATTAATTTTTAAACAATAGATTACCACTATTTGAACAATAATAATTAATTATAAGAAACGTATATAGATGGTGCAAGCGAAGAAGTCTCTCAGGCCTTTACAGCTCAGCTCGGGCTGTTCTGACGAGCGTAGCTCAACAGGAATGGGCGATTTCCGCGACTAGAGAAAGGGCGTCTCCTGCGAGACTCGGACCTCGGCTTGGGGCGTCGCGGGGTGGTCAATCGCCTGAAGGGCAGAACGGAAGCTCTCTGGCGTGAGCGAAGTACAAAGCACAGGTTCAGGCCTTCCCCGGTGAAAGCGCTTTTTACCCTAATCTGACTTTGACTTTATTTTCCGCGCGGGCGGCTTTTTAATTAATCATTAG